TAATAGGGAATCATTTAATGAAACCGTATCTACTGTTGGTAACATTTACTTGTGTATGGCTTATTTACCACATTTTAAGGAAGAAAAGCAAGATATTTAACCTACATGGTATCTACTTTACATCCATCTACCACCTACCCATCCATCCACCCACCTATCCATCCATCCACCCATCCACCCATCCATCCATCCACAAAATAATATCTATTGAAGGCTTAGTATGTTCCAATCCCCATGCTAGGCACTGGACCACATTCCCAAGCAACAGTCCTAAAACCTTTAAAGCCCAAATTGAACTATTGATTTTTTTAAGTGTAATTTTCCTACTCTTATTTTAGAAGGAAAAAACTCCCAGCAAATCGATGGAGTATGGAAAATTATATAAGTGTATCAATGATTATGTAATTCAAGTTTTCTAAGAGCTTTTATTTTTTATTTTTTTGGAAGAGTTTTGTTTTGTTGTTTTGTTTTGTTTCAATGTATTCTAAAAGGAAAGTGGTAGAGCAAAAGTTGAGGGGGAGAAAGAGTAAGAGAGAGAGGGTTTAGGGCATTAAAATTCTCAAAAAGTTAAAATAGGATTAACCCTATATTTGACCCCCTTTGCCCTCTTCCCACCCTCAAAAAAATAAAATAAAATCGGATTAAGCTGGCCAACTTCTTTTTTAATAATATAATTATTTTTATATTTGAAAAAATTTTATACAGATGTATATAAAAAACAAAAAAATTTATCCTTCTAAAATCAATACCACCATTATAATTATTTAACCTAAATCCCAAACGGCCAACAGCAAATCCATTTTTCAGTGGCACAGCTAAGATGTAGATCTAAGGAACAGCTATGTTTTTCAGTTGGTGCCTAGAAAGTGAACCAGTTTCTAGTTTGCCAGTGGACACTTTGCAGTTCTAATTTTAACCATCAGACAATACAAAAAAAAAAAAAACTCTGTAAAAATCTGGGGACATACTTTTTTTCTTTTTTCTGACTGCTCTTTTTGTCAGTTACTTAAGAAGGAAAAGAAAAGTCATTTTAATCACTATTCTATACTCTGTCATCGAACACAAATGATAAAAAGACACATTCGTGGCTTATCATTTAGCAAACAGTTGCTTAGTGACCTGTACACTGGAGGTACTGGGCTAGCAACCAATCAACCAAGCCAATGTACTAATATAATCAAATCAAAAGTGAGTTGAACACAGTCCCTAATTATAAAAATCTCATCATCTAATTAGGGAACAATAATCTAATAACCACATGCCAGTAAGGTAATCATCTAATGACTAGTAGTAATCTAATAATGTAATGTCTAATAATTTCATGTCCAGCCAGGGGAAGAAGAAATGTAAATAAACAATTAGGACACCGATGAGGGGTGACCAAGACAGAACTCAGGAAAAGCTTCCCATCTCAGGTCCTGCCCAGGGCCATGACACTCAAGAGGTCCCGCTCCTGTGACAGTTTGCTCTTCACTTCAGCAGATACCTCAGTCTGTCACTTCTGAAGACTATGATAATGGAGAGCTCTAACCTGACTTCCCTGCCTCAGGTTCTAAATTCACAAGCAGACTGCACACTCCTCATGTGTACTTCCGAGGACGCTGTTTGCAATGCAGCAAAAGCACTGACCAGCGATGCGGGCCTTGGCAGTCCCATCTCTCACTGCAGTGCGTCGGCATCTTAGTTTTGTCCCCTGTGTTTGGTTACTGTGACTCACGTGCTTGTCACTATCTGTAGATGATCAAATTAATTTTCTAAACTTGAAAAGCTGAAGACCAAGGAAATGCCAGCACTGCTCAGAAGCAAAATCGCTACACCACCTGTTTTTGTTAATATATTTCATCTCTTCTCTATATACGCATGCAGCGTGGGTTCCTAGAAGGAGCTGCGGTCCTCCAGACAAAGCCTGGGTTCTCATCCCATCCCATCATTCATCAGCTGTGCAGCCTCAGGCAGATGGGTCTCAGGACCCGGCCCTCAAAAATGGGGACTAAAGTGCCTCCCCTCCCCCTCTCACAGAGTCATTGCTAACATAAACAGTGAACAAGAAAGGGCTTTGAAGCCCATGAAGCGCTAAGATGTAAGATACTATTACTGCCTTACGATCCTCAAGCAATCCATGCCAAATCGTCCATTAGTGGCAGCATCGTAATTGGTTCCAAAGACACGAGAAAAAAAATCAATATTACAATAAAGAAAGGCACAATTTCCATATCCTCCCCATACTGACGACTTTTTCCTACAGACCTGGAGACATAGTTTGAATGCGTTCACCACTATGAGAACTCCCCTTATTTTCAAAAGCTTCCAGAATAAATCGTGTTCAAATGTGGTAGTTTCTGGCATGTGGCTACGTCAATGATGAAGTGAGATCAGAAAAGTTTCTAATTAGATGTGGATCTACAATAAACTTAAGAAAACACACGAATAATTTCAAAATACAAAGTGATGTCATTAGAGTAACCCCTCTCCCCAAAAGGAAAGTCTCACTGTTACGATTTCTAGCCTTCTCCTAAACATAGAGGAGGCTAGATGCGACTCTGAGCTGCTGGACAAAGTGGATTTAACCAACTCCTGTAGAAGTCAGGATTTCTCAGTTCTCAACTGAGGGACCTACAGGCACATGCAGAATTGTGATTTGCACTTTGCACAGATGCTTTTTCTTCATCTCAGGAATACAAAGGCAATGCATTTCTAGTTTAGTTTTCTTCAGGCGCCCCTCCGGTGTGCGCCGTCAGTTCTGACACAGAACTGTAAGCATCTGTTTATGTGTATTCCCCCCCACTCCAGGCTGCAAACTTACTGAAAAGGGAAGAGGCCCTGGTCTAAGGCAGCTTTTTATCCTCCAGCCAATAACTGGGACATAGAAGGTGCTCATTAAATGCTGACTGAAAAAATTAAGGAATAAACTACAGATATAGTATTAGGTCGACTTTTCTAAAAGTCTAATGTTCCTTTATATTATACTCAAATTTAATCTCTAGATATCAGTAAATTAGATAACATGCCTTTGATGTAAGTAGTAGATTCATGTGAGTTAAAACAGCTAAATCTTGTAGTTAAGAAATTAGATTGAACTGCCTAAGTTATATGCAGGAAAGGTGAATATATACATTTATTAATTAACTTAATTCATTTATTGCATCATTTGAAACATTCTTAAGCAGCTACTGTGTTGTAATTACCTTGCCCAGAAGCTAGGCATGCAAAGTCAGGCAGGTCTCAGGCTCTCGGGGAGGTGAGTGCCTGGTGAGGGAGGAAACCAGATGAATATTCTGGTAGAGGTATGTGCTGGGGCATGGGAGCACCATGGAGGCAGTAACTGCAGCTGGGTGGTGGTGGCCAGGGGGGCATATACAGAAGGTTTCACAGGGAGGTGATGCTTGAACCGAGATTTGAAAAAAAAAGCGAGTTACCTTAAAGAAACAGGCATTCCAAGAAGAGAGAAGAGGATGAGGGACCCAGTGCTCTACCAGCAGAGAGAAGGTTGCATGTAACAGATGGCAGATGGTGAAGAGCAACAGAGAAAGAGGGGCCCCAGACAGTGGGGGACTCTGTGGGCTAAAGATTATCAGGCATCTTCAGTGAAGAGGCTGCTATATTAGACTTCTTTCCTCAAGGGACTTAGAGTCTGTTTAAAACAGATTAAGAGTAATAGCTGAAAGGTCCGGCTAAAAAAAAAATTAGATGAAATAATGAAACAAGCAAAGCAGAGGCACTTCCAACTCAATGTAACTTAGTCGTTATCTGAACTTCATGATCTGGTTTTGAGGTAAAATTGCATCTCTTATAATAAAGGATAAGAGGAAAATTAGGCATGACTTTGAATTGTAAATGTTTTACAATTTTGAAAAACAAGGAATTCTCTTTCTTACTAAAATAAGTTTCTATCTCTCCATAAAGACCACATCTCCAAATATATTTCTCTGTGTCACTGAGGCACCCACCTGATCTTACAGTCAGCAATGCTATCAGGAATGTCACTATTGGGCAGAGATGGAGAAAGAGCAGTATTGAGTCTGGTTATGGGGTCTGCAGACCCTTAGCACTGGGAGTGCAAAACCCCAGAATAAATAGTTCAGCCGGGGCCAGCCACCCCCACCCCTGCAGACAGAGCTCACCAGCAGTCCAGCTGATGGGGCGTATTACTAAACATAGTCAGGTATCATCAAATGCAGCACATATCAAAATTGCAACTTGGTTTTGGATTGCTTATTTTTATGTGATAAAAACATCAGTATTCATTTAAAAGAAGGAATATCTAAGTGCCTGTTTTACTGCTGTAGTAAATTTACTTTTTCACTGTCAGTGACTAATAGAATGTAAGTTATTTTCAGGGAAAAATAAAACAGTCAAGCATTAATCTAAATTTCAGTTAAAAATGACAACATACAGGTACATCTATGGCAAGTTAGAATTAATCTCTTCCAAATGCGGCAAAATTCAAGTCACTTTATACAAAGGAGACTATGGAGAGAAGTCTGAACGAAAACAGGAAACCCAGCTAAATACCAACCTTCTAGCTCATTTCGTGGTGGTCTTCTGAGAACCTGGGGAACCACGGGCTAACTCATTTGATGGTAACGAAATGGTATTATTTACTTATAACCTTTTAATTTTGCCTCTAAGAGGAAAAAAAGCCATCACCATTGAAAGGTTTTCCTTTTTTCCCCATAACTAATTGTCTAAGAGAATGACAAATATAATAAACAAAATGACAAGGTATAAAGAAGTAAAAATTTGAAATAACAGGAAAATTGTAGAAGCATACTCATTATGTTCCATCTAACTTTGGCTTTCTAAAGTTTCCATATCTCAGCCTGTCCAATAACTATCAAGGGCAGTCTTGACAAGGCTAAAGTCACAAATCATATTGAGTTGACTGTAAATGCTAAGAATATTATATATGAGATCATCGTAATTAGTTAATGGATATTAATTATGGTATTTTTTTCCTTTGGACTAATTCTTCTTCTCCTTTATATTTTATTTTATTATAGTTAGCATCATGCTGCTATTCCTGCAAGCACTGAACTAGCATGGGATGTGACGATTATACTCCGAAATAAATGAATTGCTCAATTTCCAGTGACCATCTATCCAGACGCCATCTTCAAAATGTGTATCAATGCTCTATCGTAAAGGAGACAGTGGCCGGCTTTTTTCCAATATGCATGACATTTCTGGACAATGCAACTGGGGCACTGGCACTTATTTCCATGAAGAAAAACTTTGCAGTTCTATGGCATTCGTCATTTGACAAATGCAACAATTTTCCTTGTCAGTCAGCTCTGACTGAACTCACTCGCGGGGACTGTGGAACCCTGAAGGGCCCATTCAATTTCTGAAGAAGAAAGCTAAGATGAAGGACATGCCACTCCGGATTCATGTGCTACTTGGCCTAGCGATCACTGCCCTCGTCCAAGCGGTAGATAAAAGAGCGGATTGCCCACAATTATGTACGTGTGAAATCAGGCCTTGGTTTACACCCCGGTCCATTTACATGGAAGCAGCTACAGTGGACTGTAATGATTTGGGTCTTTTCAATTTCCCAGCCCGGTTGCCTGCTGACACACAGATTCTGCTCCTACAGACGAACAATATTGCAAAAATTGAACACTCCATAGACTTCCCAGTGAACCTGACTGGCCTGGACTTATCGCAAAACAATTTATCTTCAGTCACCAATATTAATGTAAAAAATATGCCTCAGCTCCTTTCTGTGTACCTGGAGGAAAACAGACTCACTGAGCTGCCTGAAAAATGTCTGCCTGGGCTGAGCAACTTACAAGAGCTCTACATTAATCACAACTTGCTTTCTGCCATTTCTCCAGGAGCTTTCATTGGCCTACAGAATCTCCTTCGCCTTCATCTCAACTCAAATAGGTTGCAGATGATCAACAGTCAGTGGTTTGATGCTCTTCCCAACCTGGAGATTCTGATGATTGGGGAGAATCCAATCATCAGAATCAAAGACATGAACTTCAAGCCGCTTATCAATCTTCGGAGCCTGGTGATAGCTGGTATAAACCTCACAGAAGTACCAGACAATGCCTTGGTTGGACTGGACAACTTAGAAAGCATCTCTTTTTATGACAACCGGCTTATGAAAGTCCCCCATATTGCTCTGCAAAAAGTTGTAAACCTCAAGTTTTTGGATCTCAATAAAAACCCGATTCATAGAATACGGCGGGGTGACTTTAGCAATATGCTGCACTTAAAAGAGTTGGGGATCAATAACATGCCTGAGCTGATTTCCATCGACAGTCTTGCTGTGGATAACTTGCCGGATTTAAGAAAAATCGAGGCGACTAACAACCCCCGGCTGTCTTACATTCACCCCAATGCGTTTTTCCGGCTCCCCAAGCTGGAGTCACTCATGCTGCATAGCAACGCCCTCAGCGCCCTGTACCACGGCACCATCGCATCCCTGCCCAACCTCAGGGAGATCAGCATCCATAGCAACCCCATCCGGTGCGACTGTGTTATCCGCTGGATTAACATGAACAAAACCAACATTCGGTTCATGGAGCCAGAGTCGCTGTTTTGTGTGGACCCACCTGAATTCCAAGGCCAAAATGTGCGGCAGGTGCATTTCAGGGAGATGATGGAAATCTGCCTCCCGCTGATAGCTCCTGAGAGCTTGCCTTCGAATGTGGATTTGGAAGCCGGAAGCTATGTTTCCTTGCACTGCAGAGCTACTGCAGAGCCACAGCCCGAAATCTACTGGATAACACCTTCTGGTCAAAAACTCTTGCCTAACACGCTGAAAGACAAGTTCTATGTCCATTCTGAAGGCACGCTAGACATACGTGGCATAACCCCAAATGAAGGGGGTTTATATACTTGTATAGCAACGAACCTGGTTGGTGCTGACTTGAAGTCTGTGATGGTCAAAGTGGACGGTTCTTTGCCCCAGGATAACAATGGATCCTTGAATATTAAAATTAAAGATGTCCAGGCCAATTCCGTTCTGGTGTCTTGGAAGGCAAGTTCTAAGATTCTCAAATCCAGTGTTAAGTGGACAGCCTTTGTCAAGACAGGAAATCCCCATGCCGCCCAAAGTGCTCGAATACCGTCGGACGTCAAGGTGTATAACCTGACTCATCTGAACCCGTCGACTGAGTATAACATTTGTATTGATATCCCCACCATCTATCAGAAGACCAGAAAACAATGTGTGAATGTCACCACAAAAGATTTGGACCCTGATTGGAAGGAATATGAAAAGAGTACCACCACCACATTTATGGCCTGCCTTGGGGGTCTCCTGGGGATTATTGGTGTGATATGTCTTCTCAGCTGTCTCCCTCAACATGTGAATGGTGATGGTGAACACAGATACGTGAGGAATTATTTACAGAAACCATCCTTTGCATTCAGTGAGCTCTACCCTCCTCTGATTGACCTCTGGGAAGGAGGCAGAGAAAAAAGCTCAGCATTGGAAGTGAAAGCAACGGTTATCGGTGTGCCAACAAACATGTCCTAAAAACAACCAACTAAACCTACTTCAAACAAAAGCTCATGACTGACTGTAGTGCTCGAAAAAAAAAAAGGCAGAGAAATATTACTTTCTAGAAAGAAGTGTAAGCTTCACCAATGCTGCTCCTGACCAATGGATCTATGTACAAGTTCAGCATTTTAATTAACTGGCTTCAAAGGGTACTGTGGCAACCAAATAAAGTAATTCCATTTTCTAGAACTTCCATGTAACTTTTATGTCTGGACTACAGTTAAAGTGGACGAAAACATTTCTGTATTTTTTTTAAGTATATAAGAGTAGTTGAACTGAGCAATACCTCCTACTGTGTTGTATCACACATATTAGCCACGAGTTTTTGCAGTGACCAGATAAACTTGAATTGACACGTGGTGTAACAAATGGACACATTCTGTAGAGTAGACACAGTGAGTATGTGGGCCTCTTTTATAAGGAAAAATACATTTTGGATTAAAACCAATTGCTTTTGTCTTGTTTTTGTTTCTAAATAAAGAATAATTTCTGGGAAGTGTCATCTGACCAGACATCATTTAAATGACAACATTTTCAAAAAGTGTTTTTCTATAATGAAATTTGGACTGTGTGAAGACACATTGACTGAGTTCTATAACTATGTTTTTATAATGCACAAAAAAGGATTGGAGAAGGTGCTTTCATCAATAGTGAAGGACAATCATGACACTGTATTTAACCCTTTAACTAGTGACAAAACAAATCCTCTAGGAAATTATGTATTCACTTAAAGATTTTCTTTTCTGAACAGCAAGCTCTTGGACTGGATTCAATTATTAGGTTCACATAATGTAAACCCAATATCTGAGGAACCGCAAGTCTTATTTTAATAATTAGTAGTAACTCAACTTTAAGATGCTTACCTTGCAGGAAATGTTGCCAAATCTCAGCAGGACTTACAATCTAGGTGTAATTTTCAAATCCCCCTGTAATTCTAAAATACTTAATGAGCTCCCCTGCAATAACAAACAAATAACCTCATAACTTGCTGTGCTGCCAACATAGCGATGAAACAATATTTTCTCCATGACTCCACAAGAAGGGGGTTTATATACTTTTATAGCAATGAACCTGGTTGGTGCTGACTTGAAATCAGTGATGGCCAAAGTGGGTGGTCCTTTGCCCCAGGATGACAATGAGATTTAGAATTTTAGAAGACTAAGATTTTCCAAGGCTAAAATTTTAGAATTTTACTTTACAGTTTACTAGACTATTAGAAGAATTTTATAGGTTCAATTTTATAAAATTCCCCCTTTTATGTACTGCACCCCACTATAAAAATGGCATGAGTCAGATAATTCCAGGGTTCAATAGAAATTTAAAAGGACAGTTTTGCTAATGAGAGGAAAAACTTCTCAGACAAATTTAGAGTAAAAGGAAAAAAAAATAAGTGCAGTTCTCTATGACTATAGTTCAGGTACCTAAAAAACACTTCTTTAAAAAGTTAAGAATCCTTGAATTGAAATGCCAAGAACACTCCTAACAATGTAAGATCCTATATAGTAAATGTGAGGATTTTACTTGGAAAAAACAGCCAAGGTCTTTTAGGGTTTTAGTCATATTTACAAAAAAAACAACCCATCTGTGTATAAGGGAAGTACCCTGAAACAATAAAAAAATCATCTAAGATAAAAAGCCACACTTTTTATAGTCAAATCACTCATCTCTACAAAGCTACAAGGTTTCCATGTTAATTGCGGCAGTGCTTTTTCATAAGCGAGTGTTTAACTTTTTTTACAGTAGCTTGCTGCATAGTATCAACACGTCATTGGCCTGCAAACATTCCCAACACTGTAGTCATATCCACCTATCTGTCAGTGCTAGACATGTGCTTTTGTGATCGCAATGACAGTTTCTAATTAAATCTTAGATGTTTCTGACAACGTGAAAGGTAATTGTTATGAACTCTTTAAAATGAAAGAACAAACTGTGTTAATTCAACACAACCAAAATATGAGACTTGCTAATTCAATGTGTTTCCCAAACACAAGTTTTACAACCTGATGAATCACTATCATACACCGGCTGACATTAGAATTTATCAGCAAGACATGCTCATACATCATGAGAGGTTTCAGCACCACGGACAGAGCTTTTTAGAGCCAAGCTATTTGTCAAAAGTACAGGAGTTGAAATATGACCTATTAGGATGCAGGTATTGTGTAGGTCAGCAAGAACTTTCTCAGGTATCTTGCATGTTTCTCTCAAACCTATCTGCATAAAGAACTATAACAAACATATTTAGCTGAGAATCCATTTCAAGCTGCATTTTCCTTAGACAAACTGTAGCAAATAGCACTCTGAATAGACATAGTGAGTGCTGAAATGAAGTATTTTTGGTACCGACAAATAAATACAGGTGCTCAAAGCAAAACACGATCATATTTACTTCATCAAATTTTAATCTAAATTGCCAGTAAGAAAGAAAAGCATTTGCTTCAATTACAAGAATATTTCATACTTCCTGTGTTACACTCGAAATCTCACATAAAATCAACTAAGCATGGGGTTAAAGTACTCAAAGCATGTAAAGTACAATTTGCTGATACCATACGGATGCAACCACAAACTTTACCTATAAAAAATAAAACTCTAATGTTTATACCCCTGTGAATGCCAAATAATCCCCGCATCTGGTATGGAAAAAAACATTTTTTTTCACAAAAGTATATATTTTTGAAATTACATATTTTAAAATTTACACTGCAAAATAAAATTCAAATTTTCTGAAATTAGTATGCCCAGTTGAAATGCATAAAAACAATATGGAGCAAAATGTGTAATTGTCAGCAAAGCCAAAAAAATAATATGCCGCCCATCACATGCAGACCATTTTGCATAGGAAAAAAAAAAAGAAATATATTTATGGTACACACATCAGTCTTTTGATACTGATTTCAGTTCTTAAATTTTTATTCTAATTGGATAAAAAGTGTTAAGCAAAACTACATTAGTGTCAGCATTATATTATAATTCCTTAGTCTATTCATTTAACTACATTTTGTTTACATTTAATAAATATATTTACTGTATGGCTATTAGTCACTGGAAAAACAGAAGTGAACAGGGCAAATTCTTCATTATTAAGGGGCTTATATTCTACTGGATTATATTCTGGTTATGTATCACCATTTTCACAAATATGTCTTAACTATTATTACTTATAGTTATACTTAGTAGAGTCTCAGCTTCAAGCCATAATTTCAAAGAATGGTAATACCCAGAAAACCACAGATTTTTATCTTGGTCTAAAACGTTTTACTTATCATAACATGCTGATATAGAATTTAATTCAAATTTATTATTGAAATTTATTATTTATTATACACTACATATAGAGAAGCTAGCCTAATGCCACCTTTAGACTGGAAAATAAGAAGTAATGTCTACTTACCATAAACTCATCCTAGGCATAGAAACACAGATAACTAAATGTTTCCCCTAGTTTAAACACAGAGAGATTGATCACCCAAGAAATATAAGAAGTTAAATTCAAGAAGATAATCTAGCACTGACAAAATGTTTCTATATTTTACAAGGAGAATCAACTTTATCAACTCTTATAAGATCTTCCAACAACTGTGAAGGAAAACCTTAAAATTTCATAGATTAGCCTTTTACACAAAAAAATCAGAAGTGATAGGCCAGTAACCAATAAAGCAAACAAAAACAACGAACAGGTTTAAAAGTATATATTTGCTAAAGAAAGGGCAAATTCCAATAAAATGTTCACACACTTATCACAAATACCAGAAAAAAAAATTCTCGTTGTACATGTCCCCAGTAAGTGGCAACTTGGGCTTCATCCCAATGTTGACATTCTAGAAGATGGGGAATAATGACTAGTGATTATATGGTGACTACATTTTCTTTGATCCAGTCTCCTTCCTTCTCTTTCCCTTTAACTTCCAAAACAAATTATAACAAATAAGTAGAAGGTTTTTTGTTTTTGTTTTTGTTTTTTTTTAAGAAAACGATTGTTGTAGATATGTTTACTATACCAAACATCCCAAATGGTCATTTGGGGTTAAATCTAAGCAGAAAGACTGCAGTGATCTTCTGTAGCAGATGATAATATTTTCTCCCTTGGTTCTACAGCCCCACTTCTGTTATACCAGTTAGCTCTGGCTAACGCATTGCTAACTAGGTCATTGCTTGGGAGCATGGCAGTATTGTACTGGTAAGAAAGAGCCATGACTAGAATCAAATGTTACAATCATCATCATGGAGTTCTGGAAAAACAAAGAAACTGACTCCAGTGTCAACACAATTGTGACTGCTTTCATGTATTCATTTGAAAAGTGAGGAAGTTATCTATCGTTAAGGGTGACTACCAACTTTTATACCCTGGAAGTCAGGTAAGAATAAAAACACTATTCATATACAGGAATAAAATGAGAAAATCAGAACTAATTCTAATAGTCATAATCCATATATGCAATCCTTAGAAATGGTATTAAAAGATAAATGTTAAGAAGGGAAATTCTAGTGAAATATAGATTATTTCCAAAATCTGGCCTAAATATTTCATTATTGAGATAACAGAAGTGCTCCTGAATTGACTAGCAAGCACCCAATAAGTTCTCAAGTGAGAAGATATGAAGTATAACACAATTCCTTTCTATTACTACTGAAAATAGGCAAGCCTGCAGAGATTTGAATTTACTTCTTCTAGTCCACTTTACATACACACCACAGGGCAGTTAGTTTATCTTCGAAACAAGCCGTACAGTCAATAAGAGGTTAGGTTCATCACAGATACATCAATACAACTTTCTCTTAAAAGCAAATGAGGTATTCAAATAAGTATTAAATTCAGAGAAAATATCATATATGATTTCAAAATTATTGTAGAGTAGCCCAGAGTAACAAAACATAACAAAAAGAATCATGGTTGAACTTGGCAAGACTTTCATAAGAATAAATTATAATGGCATTTGAAGACCTCACAATACTTTGTGTGCTTACATTTACTTTTTCTGACTCTAATATATCATCAAGAAACTAATAGCATTATGTGACCATTGTAAGGAAAACCCGGCTTCCTATTAAAACATATGGCTCAGTGTCTGAAGTTATTGATTCAAAATCCAATTGCGATATCCATTTATAATGTTTACCAGCCACTGCAACAAATAATGGAGTAGGGTTGAAACATAAATTGACCCTCTTAATCCTAGCATTGAGAGAATCACAGTGTAATAAAATAACCTCCCTGTCCATTTTGGTACCAGATTCAAGGCTGGTGAAGACACAAATAGTTCTCAAACCATTAGAGATGCCATTATTAAAACAATATGGTCAAACACACCAAAATAATTCCCCAAAAAGAATACTACAAAAGAAGAGCTCTTCAAAAAAAATACTACATAAAATTGAATTTCATTATCAGAACTTGGATTAAAGTCAGGTACCTTTGGTGAGCATCCTGTAACACTGGTTCCAGAGAAAGATCACAGATCCAATAAAGAAGAAGAAACAATGTCTCAAAAATAA